TTTTTTTCGGTTGTTATTTTAACTATCTAGCCTCGTTTAAATTTATTTATCGTGCGTTCGAGCCCGAGTATTAATCACCGAACCGAAGTGGATCGCCCCGCGCCGATTGCCGACTGGTTTCTATTATCAATTCTGTGCATGTGTGTGCGTGTGTTTTACATTGTGGGAATAGAAAAAGGAATCAACCCTACATGTTATGTATTTAAGTGGGATTAAAATCCTTAGCTCGTCGAAAACTTTCACCCGCAGACCCCAGAATTCTGTCCTCTCCCTCGTTGTTTTCCTGCTATCTTCTTCACCATCGCACCATCAACCACCATCAGCAACGATCATCATCTGTCATCACCAACAACATAAACCCTCAGCCGATTTTGAGAACTCCCGCACATAATCTCATCTCCCTCAGCAGCAATAAACACGCACAGACCCTAAGGGATTCTCCTCTCTCTCGCTGTTTTCTCCTGCCATCGCCATCACCATCTTCAGCGCTCATCGCCGGTAACCTGCAGCACCACTTCCCGCGCAGCACCATCATCAGGTCTCCATTATCGCCATCACAATTCGCTGAAACCCTGCAATTACGAGCCCCGCTGCCCGTCGCCGGCCATCACAGAAATCCGGTCACCATCATCACCCTCTGTCGAGTCCCGTAGAGTCCCGTCGGAGTGCCAAATGTGGCCGTCAAGTCCCGTCGAGTTCCGTCGGAGTGTCAAGCGTAGCCGCGAGCCCTGTTATCCAACCGCGGCCCTGCTGTCTGTGAACTTCCAGCCACCAACATCACCACTTTTTTCGCTTGCAGGAGCTCCTCCGCCTCCAAGCCTGTTCGATGCTCGAGACCACACGCGAACCTCGTTCGAAATCCATTCGCGGGCCGTATTTTCATCACCAGACCGCCGTGAGTTGTCCTCGTAAGTCCCAGCGTATTTTCTGCTATTCAAACCGTCTCGAGTGCGCTCCATTGTTCTCGTTGTGCTGTAGTTCGAGGTCCCGTTCGAGCCAACTGCAACCAGTGAACCTACGCCGCAAGTCGTCTCCGTCGTGCCTGTAACGCCCCGTTCGATTTATAGAATTTCTCAAAATATTCTATTTATCGAATATTATTTATAAGGTTATATTTATTTTATTAGTCGCGATGTCGACTTAAATTATAGGTTGGAGTACTCGATCGTTTTATTTTTAAAATGTTTGTCGTAGACGATTCAGTTTAATCGTGTGACCCGACTATAATCTGTTTGAATATTAAATAATTGGGCTATTTATTATTTATTGTCTTTATTATTATTATTATTATTATTATTATTATTATTATTTAATTGCCTAATTTCCTAATTGCTATTATTGTTCCATTATTATTATTATTATTATTATTATTATTATTATTATTATTGTTTTTTTATTATTATTAGTATTATTATTAATTGCCTAAATATCATTATTTGTCTAATTTAATATTATTATTTAAATAAATGATGTGTGTATTACTAAAATATTAATATGTTTATTATATATATATATATATACATAAATATTTATCCGATTCTTATTTTAATTATCGTGCGATTATTCGAGCCTTGTCTACCGTTAATGTTGAATCGAGTTTCCAGCCAGAGCCATTCGAACCCCGGCCCGTGCCTTGTACCCGTGTGCCCAAACCTGCCCGAACCGGTTTTTTATGTGTCTTGTGAGGAAAGATAATTAACCTAATTTTGTTTAAAGCTGCTAAACCCTTCTCCTTTCTCGTGAACGCGCAGCCATCTCACCCTAATTTCTCCCATCTCATTGTTCGTCGCTCAAAAGAGAGAAATCTCTCCCTCTCGTTAAAAATCCTTCGGCCTCTTCCAATAATCATATCACCATCATCGCCCTCCCACAACGGGTCAATCTCTGGCCACCGTCCACACCGCACGTCAGGTCCTTATCCACGTGTGACATCCACATCCCCGATCGCGGATCACTTCCCCATCGCAAAAACTGCACGCAACGCCCTCTTATGGTGAGATGACGAATGATGGCGAACTTGATCGAGCTGTTTCAGGCAGAGGTGGGAAAACCGCGACTAAAAGCCTCCATCGCGGCTGACGAGCGGGTGACTTTTTCAAGCGTCTACCGCTGACCACGAGCCGCAATCCTTGCAGCGGCGAGGTGAACGACCCGGCTCCAGCGATCGAAGCTCCAGTTTTCGGTGGCTGAGGAAAACCAAGCGTGAACAGCCGTGTTCAGCGAACGAGGGCGACTCTTCGATACGGCTGAGGCAAGTCCTATGCGTGGTTGTAACGAGCACCGACAACCGAGGAGCTCGAGTTTTCGGCAGCGGAAAACCCCAGCCTGGGAGTGCACAGCCCCAGAGCTGTCCCTATTCTGCATTGGTTGGAGGAGACTCGCGAATCGAGCAGAGATTAAGAGCAAGCATCCGACCGACGTCTCTCCCCTGCTGCCCGCGTGAACCTTGAAGAATCGACACACTATTCTCTACCGATGGCCAGCCTCTGTTCGAGCTCTCGTGCGTGAACGTGCAGCCCCGGTTTCTTATTCGAGCAACCGACGCCATCTCCCTGTGGTGTTGGTAACGATGAATCCCTTTGTACTTTCATATATATATATGTGTGTGTTTATATGTTAGATATGAAAGGAGTTCCATATGATTTTGATATGTATGTGCTTATGTGATTATTTTTGTCGGTTTACTTTGAATTCGTGATCGAGCAATGAAATTGTGGAACCTTCTTTCGTTTATGTGATTAATGATGTTGTTAGTAGTGCCTTTGATCGTGGTTGGAGTGTTAAATAGTTTGTTTATGATATGGAGATAAATGTATTATAGTTCGTTGAGATTTCATGGTAAAGCATGATTTTTATGTCTTTGTTTTGCCTCTGTTAAGGGCCTCAGGACCTCATTTTTTGAATCCTAGTCTTGATATGATATGTAGCTTGTTCTGTTTTCCTTAAGTGAGCTTTCGTATTATTGAATTTCTATTTGAAACGAATAAGTTATGATTTTTATAAAATTATCCTGCAAGCAGATTTTGTAATTCCGAGAAGATTTGAGGAATATGATGTTGGGTTGATTTTGATGGTCTTATTGTGGCCATACGATCTGGAAAAATTTTGTTCACAGACCCTTTTTGGCAATCATTGTTGCAGGAGTGGAAATACGCGGTGGTGGTGCGGTTAAGTGTAATTGTTATAAATTTTTTAGTACTTGTTATAAGCTTTCATTAGAAGTAGAAATCATGCAACTTAGAATTTAGGTTGATTTTATATGATTTTTCCATGATGGGGTTATGCCCAGATTTTTAAAACAGTGGTTGTGATTATGTTCAGAATGTATGCTCTGAAATAGTGCCTTTAACGTGATTATTTATAAAAATGCTCTTCTTGAAACTTGTAGCAGTCCAGTGTATATTCTGTAAGTTTTTAGTTTGTATGATTTGGAGTTGTGTAGCATGAGATATTGTTGTTTTAGTGACCTGCTATAAGTTGATAAAAAGTTTCGTTGGCAGATTTCTTGACCTATGTGTTTTATGTTTAAACTCGGTTTTAAAGTTGTTGCTGACTTAAGTGATCAACATAAAAGTTGTGTATATATGTGAGAGCTGCTCATTAGTTTTGGAATCACCTGAATAGCATGCTTGTAGCTCATGTTGCCTTGGAAATATTGAGACCATACGAGTTGTTCATTCTCATTTCTAGTCTACAGTTATGTTTTTTGTCGTTATTGAACTATGTGGCTAATTTATAATGCATGAGTATAGTTAAGTGCTCGTGTGTTGGATAGTCTTGCATAGGACTATTTTGTGTAATGTAGGTGTGTGACGAGCTGTGTCTCGGCCTACCTTTTTCCCCTGAATACTGTGATTTCGTCCTTCAGATACCAGGTGGGTTTTATTGGAAAATTTTCTATGTTGTAAATGTTAATAAATGATTTATTTGTGGTATGATCAAAGTATGCAAGTGAATCATGTATCCTTCGGTCTGAGCTGTACCGGCCACCGAACGGTTATCCCTTTGTTAAGATTTTCCCCTAAGATCCACGGTGGGCCATATCGATGTAAGTCACATGGTGATGCCTTCGATATGTTTGTTCGATGTAAGTTAGATGACGATGCTTTCGAAATGAATGTCGATGTAAGACACATGACGATGACTTCGAAGATACTACCTAAAGCTAATGATAGGTGTGTAAACATGAATATTGATTATTGATTGTTGATATTATTGATGGGGAATGGGATAGACTATTGCTTCGTATACATGATGAGACCATACCTTATTGATTATTAATTATTGTTGATTATTGGCATTAACGTTTATTGCATAGTGGTGAGCACTATTGTTCCTCTTGTGCTCATCCCCACCTGCTCTTCATCGATGTAGATTAGTATTGCGGGCATGACAGAGGGAGGCGAGTGGTGTTCTATAATTGAATGTTGCTTTCGCCTATTGAATTGTCTTATGATATTATTGCGTTTTGGAATAATGGATATTTGATTATTGAGAATTGAATTAATGTTAAGGAGATTCTCCTTAGTTCCATTTGAGGATTTATGATTGTTTAAATGAGGAATGATGATTGATGGTTGAGAATTGCGATTAATGTTGATTATTGGGAATCGCTTTTGAAAATGAGTATCGTCTCAATTAGTAATGAAATAGATTTTGAAAAATTTATTTTGAATTTTGTCTATTAAAAGTGGTGCGTTACAGTTTGGTATCAGAGCCAGTTTGCGTTTCTGTAGACTGATTAAAGTGAACAATTTGATTATGTGAATCGACCCTAAGTTATGACCACTCGCTCTCGTCGTGCCGCGCCAGCTCAGGTATGCGTACCTAATTGATTTATAGATGATTGTGCAATAATTGATTATTGATGTGAAATCTGTTGGGGTATACAGTAAAGCAAACTTTTATGTGAACTTTTGGATTGTATTTATTCGATTTCCCATTTGACTGAAATAAATGTTTTCACATTGTTGCATTCTTTATGATTTCTTGTATGCTAAATGTCCAATTATCTTATATTGTAGACAATGTGGTGTGTTAGTAGTCACACAGAAGATTACATTGTCGGTCCCTTATAAGATATAAATGGTATTCACAACTGAGATAGTTATGGACATGACTATCGGTTTAGGTTGTAGTATAAACTGGGTATAGCTTGTCTTGGCTATTGGTTTATACTAGTGCGCTGCGTCGCATTGAATGAATCACAGTTGAGATGTGTTCTTCAGTTCTGACGATCATGAAGAACCTGGGTCTCGGTGACTCTACTAATTCTTAACCCTAATTGTGATACTTAGATATGTGGGATATTTGTTTGTTACTTTGATTTACCATGGGTGAGAGCTAAGTATTGGTTCAATATGCTCTGTATCTTGGGTAACAACATTATCTGCATGATATCTATTTATTGGCATTAGAGCACCGTGTCCTGGACATCCAGGTTGATGACGTCCCCTTAAGGAACTCATAAGGATTATCGTATAAACCCTGCAGGTGGATTTATTCCGTACGATAATAAGGTTGAGTGGTACTACTTAAGGAATAAAAGATATTAATTAATTAAAGCAGTCAGAAACTTTAATAATTAATGGACGTGCGATATCTTAATCACGGGGAATTATATCGAGTCTAATAGAAGCCCTGATTCATTTCGGGATAGGACGGGAGTGCAATATTAATTCTCTAGTGGAATGAATTAATATTTACGGGCCAAATTGTGTTCTGGGCTGAACATAAGAATTTGGGCCTGTAGGGAGCCCAAACCCTGTACCTTCTAAGAGATCCCTAGTCTGGCCAGTGACTCTATAAAAGGAGGGATAAGCACACGTTCTTAAAACCTACGCAGCATCACAAAACGTGATATCTTCAGCCACCATCGTGAGGAGAAAGTTACGTGAAGGGTTCAGAGAAGAACAAAGACAATCCGCTCCTTTCAACCGTTTGGAGGATCGTCGTCCATCTGGCGTCCAAACGTGGTCGGGACACAGACTAGAAGATCGCTCAGATCGAATCGAAGCCTTGAAGAAAGGTATATCTTTGTTCGTCCTTTAGGAGCATGCTTAGGTTTATTTGAAATCATGTATGTACATGTTCGGTATCCGATATCGATCCGTGGGTAGGACTGTCTCGTCGGCGTGTACCAGCAATTGGTATCAGAGCCTCGGTTTCGTAAATTGTCGGCTCTGCCTGGAACATGTAGTTGATTTCTTTTATTTGTTTATTCTTTTTCAGTCATATTCATGGTATGGATGAATGTTTATCTCGTTTATGCTTCTGGATGGTGTCTATCGCAGCCTTTATTGTTTGTTGTAATCGTTTTTCCCACCAGATAATAAGTGTGGGTAGTATAGGCGATTTTGTAGACAGTAGTAGGGCTGTTGTTGTTCGATTTTTTGCTGTAATTTTGTGTTCAAAGTTGAACGTGATGAAGATGATCAATCTGGAGGCGGTGGCTAGGGTTTCAGCATTCACCGGGGCCGGTTTTGTCGGCGAAAACCGTTTTGGCCATAACTTTTGCTACAGGTGTCCGATTTCAGCCCATAATACCATTTCGGAAACGGGAGAGCGAGATCTACATATGTCCCAGCTTCGCCGTTATGGCCTGTGGCGGGGTCAAATTCAATCGTCTAGATAAAGATTTCGGCACTTTTCCGTCGGTGGGTGCGGACATTGCGTGAATGGCCCGATTTATGCGAGATGCCGATTCGAGTGTTCATCCACGACCTTGTTGAATCATGTAATAGCTTTGATAGTCTGTTAGTGGTTAGTTTTAAGGGGTTGCGATAGATGTGTTTTAATTTTCGCAATTTTATCGCTTTGTGGATGCCGATTTAATTTTTGCTAGAACATTTTATTTGATTATGTGTCTAGCTGATTTAAATCGATTTTCTGGCATGCTAGAAATCATGTGAATAGGTGCTATAAATTCTTAGAAAGCTGTCATTGCTTTTTTTTTTTTTTTTTTTTNNNTTTTTTTTTTTTTTTTTTTATTTTAGGAGTATGCTAGGATTTATGTGATTTGCATGTTAGGAGCATGATAGAAATTGTATTATTTCTTATTGCATGCTGTTAAAAACCTTCAAGTAAAATTGACTAAGTAAGTTTGATATCAATTTTAATTAACTCATTTGGCCTCCACAATAGGTCTTTAAGTAAGGTGTCTGTCGCTCGCGGGACCCTGGGAGTCTCCCCCTAACGGATGCGACATTCACGAGCTTACTAGATAAGACTTCTATTCAAACGACTTAACCTTTAGATGAAGTGAGTGGCATACGTGTGACCCATGGGGTCTCCTCCCTAACGGATAGTGTCATTCAGAAGCTCACCAGTAAAGATTATTTCGAGATAACCGTAGAAAATTATTTACAAGCGATGTGTCTTCCCCATCGGTAGGTTCGTCAATTGTGGATGATTGTTCTTGGGGTTAAATTGTGGTCATCACTTAGATGTGAATTTTAATATAACTCCCC